GGACAATTCTGATACCGCGCGTGCTCCGCCCGCTTCTTCGTCACTGGTTCTCCGGCCTCCTTGTCATCGGTCCTTCCCGGCTGCGGCTCTCAGTCGGCGCCGGGAAGACGAGAGTGGCGAAGCATTTTCCCCTCGTCGTTTCCCCATTTTCTCTTCTATCAACTGTTCTCCCATGTCCCTACCCCCATCTAATGATGACCGTATGGCCTTTGGCTATGAGCCTATGACTCCCACATCGGTATTTTCGTATGTACGAAGCCTTCCCTCTCTCTCTTTCAACTCCCCCCCCCCCCCTTTTTTTCCCGCGGAAGATCACGTGACACTGGCATAGCGTTGGATAGGTTAGGACGGACAGTAGCGTCCGCAGCGGTTCATCACGAGGCGGAACGGAGCGTAGAAATGACAACGTCTGAACGGGAACATTGTGGAGGCGTGGTTGGTTCCCCCGGTCCCGGAAGCAAAACCTTAACCGAACCCGGATCAAAAGCTAAGAGGGGTATGAAAGATTGGGTGTTCCATGGAAGAGCTGTACCGAACGAGATTGGTGCCTGCTTGCCTGCCGGCTCTCTTCGCTCGTTTCGTCCCCAAGTGTAACAAAATGACGGGAACAATGTCTTTAGAGGGTTGATTTCGGTCGTAGAACGCGAAAAACTGAGGTTTCAAAAGAAGGTTAGGGACTACGGATTCAAACCGAGAGGGAGAGGAGGTGGCAACACAAATCTTTGATCACGCTTTTACCAGACTTGATATTTCCTCGAAGCGTCCAAACAACCCGGTAATGCAGTTGCGAGTTCTACGACTGCGAGCTGCACCTTCATCGGTTAGGTTTAGAGGGGTCTACCGCCGTGGAGATGAAAGGTACCGTAAAAGTTAGAAACTGGGAATACGACTCACGCCGACTTTTCACGCCACTCTCACGAGCGAATGTCGTCCCGACGGTTGCAATACTCGCACCACCGAGCGCACAAGTACTTTGTAGTGTCAAATGTAATCGCCGTCTCGCCGCACACTATACCGCATCCGACATCGTCGACGAAACACGTGACCCCCTCCCCGTACCACGTGACGTCTGCGCCGCTTCGCACTCCAACTGTTTGCAAAGGCTCTGTAATATTAACCTTTCATTGGCCGGCCCTTTCATTGGCCGGCCAGCAGGAACTCGATATCTGCAACCAATCAGCGTCTGTGTGCGCTGCGTTACGCCGCGTTTGCTATGCTCGACGTCGAAGTATAGCCTTTAGAGACGGAACGCTATAGACGTTTGCAAGTACGGCCTCTGGGCGCCGCCATCTTGCTACTGATGTGGGTAGATCGTCTGATAGTCCAGCATTGCTGAGGCGTACCCACGGCCTCAGCACTGCTTAACTACCAGAAGATCTATACCGACAACAGCAGCAAGATGGCGGCACCCAGAGGACGTGCTTGCAAGCGTCTGCGTCACGGCACTCGTCGTCTATGTGCATTTCCATACAAAAATGGTCTATGGTCGTCCATGGAAAATTATATGGCGGGCTATCACCCCTTATGGCCCTCTATGGTCGGCCATAGAAATCCATAAAGACAGCTACAGCCAGCTATAGAAAAATCTATGGCCCGGTGTCTAAAGACTGGGAACCAATAAATTTTCTTTACCCGCCTGTAGAAAATTCTTTGGCCGCACGTCTAAAGATTGGGGACCAATAAATTGTCTTTATCCGTCTATAGAAAATTTTATGGCCCCTAGTCTAAAGACTGGGAATTAATAAACATTTTTTAGACGCCTATAGAAAATTATATGGCCCTGTGTCTAAAGACAGCGAACTAATAAATGTTCTTTTCCCGCGTATAGAAAACTCCTTCGCCCCGAGTTTAAAGACTGGAAACCAATAAATTGTCTTCACCCGACTATAGAAACATTTATGGCCCCGAGTCTAAAGACTAAAAACCAATCAATTTTCTTCCCACGCCTACAGAAAATTACTACCGGCGTTTTTAGTAAAAGCTCTCCACATTCTAAAATTAAATCAATACTAAACATCTGTCAGGCCGGTGACAAACCATGATCCAAGATATGTTCTCTGCTGTTGCAACGAGTGGTGAAAACCAGTAATATTGTTTCTTTGAAAAATCCTTTAAAATACCTGTGCAACAATTAAAATTAATTATTACCCACAAAAAGTGAAAATAACTTACACTGGCGCCGAACAAAGCAATCAAGCAATAGATTGATTGCAATCTTCAGTACCAGTGTACTGCATGTCATCGCTGCATTGTCAACGTGATTCATTAAACTTATTAAAAATATATATAATAAATTTTAGTTAATTAGCCTAATGATCTACATTTGCTTTTTTCAGGGTTTTGAATTAAGAGATGGGGGCTATTCCAAGAGACAATTCAAATAATGTATTAAGTACGAATAATATTTGCTCCGCCTCTCCGTGTTTTTGCGACAAATGATGGGTCACCGGCAAAGTCGGATTCAAAAATTAGGCTGCCATATATACAGCTAGTGCGAACATAGCGTTTGTAGATCTTCGCTGTTGCTGCTGTGTGCGGAAGTGTTCTGTTTGTGATCTGTGTGTTCAGAGATGTATGTATATCTATACATAAATTTACACATATATCCTTACATGGATATACATACAACATGTAGCGTTCACAAATCGAAAAACTTGAAGTAATGTTGTTTTTTTATGTTTTTTTTAGGGTTTGCTGGTTAAGAAGAGTTATAGAGAAAGCCATAGAGAAGCCTTTAGTTAACCAATAGAAAAGCTAAAGAGCGCTATGGCTGGACAGAGATGGGGCCATAGACAAAGCTAAAAAAGCCGGTAAAGGCGACCATATAAAATGCTAAAGACAGCTATAGAAAATTTTTAAGCTAATTGGGCCAAATAGCTAAAGCCGACTATACAAAGAATTTTTTATTCATAGGACATTTTTGTATGGGTTTGCTATTTGTGGTCACACCACTCGCGCACAATAAAAAAGAGCAGAATGACGGCGCATTCGTTGTGCGTGAAATAATTTATTAGCGGGCGATATATAATAAATATATAAAGACGACGAGCGGCATGACGATGCGCTCGTCGTCATGGGTCCTATGGACCTTTGCGAAAATCGCCTTCTGCGCGCTGCCATCTTTGTCTGTTGGGCTGTGGAACGCTTTCTCATCATGCGCTGTCGCTCTGCTGTGCGGTATATCAGACGCTGAGCATGCGTCCTCAGCTCAGTGACTCAGCGTTTTTCACCCGGATGATAAGCGATGCGAAGGCCAATAGCATCGGCTGAGTTTGGACGTGAGGCTCATTCACACTCTTGCGTTTGCTCTAGACCGACTTATTTTGATCTCTAAAGGCCCTGTCACACTGAGGCAACAGTTCAAAGTCGTGTTGCCGGCGACCCTGTCACATCGCGGCAACAACAACAGTCGATCAACATGTTGCTGCCGATTCGCTGAAATGCATAATAGCCCTAACCGAGGAAAGTGACATCGCTGATATGTTTTCGGGATTTACGCCACCGTATGAAGTGTTTCTGTCCGGTTCTTTCATGCAATTCATATGTCTACTGCAAAATTGAGTTAGCACCGGCAGAACCTAAGCGTCTTTTGTAGCGTGGTGTTGAGCTGAACTGACAGTGCTTCAAAACTGTGACACCGACACGATCGGCCTTGATAACAATTGGCGGAATAAATATTTTTCAACGCTGTCTACTTGCCTACCGCCTGCTATATGATCGCTTCATTCCCCCAAAACATCCTGGGTATTTTGAAAACAAATCGGGTGTCAGGTAGCGGCTGTTTCCAAGTTCCAAGCACCAACAATCATGATCAGAATTGTCGTTTTAATGCTTCGATTTTTTAATATTTGGTTTTCTGGATTAGTTTTATCATAATTCATCAACGGGTAAGTAGGCATGCCATTTTATGTTACTATCAGTAATGTGAGCTGGTCTCTCGGCAGTTTTAATTTCAAAACCAGTCTGAACGTTCATGACCGTGGCTGCGACAATTTTCAAAAATCGCTTTCCGTAACAACGCAGCAAAAACATGAATCGAAAATATTTTAGCTACACGCTAGCCCTAATTATTGTGTACGTTTTCCAAGCCTTTATTTGAGTTAGACGTTATTGATAGGGGGCTAACTTTACCATCGGAGCTATCTATGTTGTCGTGTTGCCGGCCCAAAATTCGCTCAGTCAGCGATCAGGGCAACACACGTTGTCCAACACAAGTTGCTGCTGTTTTTGTTGCCGAAAGCTGTCATACCGAGGCAACATTTTAGTTGTCGTCCATGTTGTCGTGCTGTTGCCGCGATGTGACAGGTTTGGCGGAAAACATGGGGAGCGAGCAACAAGTTGCCCGACTGCTGGACAACGTGTTGTGTAGCTTTCGCCGTCGTGTTGCCTCAGTGTGACAGGGCCTTTACCATGAGAGAACACGCGGGCGCCATCTATGAGATTACCTCAGAAATGTATTTTACCAGGGCGAAGGTTTTGCGGCATTTGCGAAAAAAAAATGTACTTATAATGTGCAAAAAAGGGTCGTTCATAAAATTGTCAAAAGTTTTTTTATCAAGAAAAAGGTAGGAATAATGCGGCGAAAAACATCGGAAATATAAAAAAAAAAAATGCCAAGCGCTACACGACGCACACGGTCGTAAACAGTTGCAAGTGTGTGATCCAGCGATTAACGTGAAACAAAGTGTAGTAAAGGTGTTCAAAGCGCACACTGCCGTCTCTTGCGCCATTTTAAAACAGAGTCAGACATACCGTGTATGTGTTACGCGACGATATCTTGCATTGACTGGAGAGGAATACCGCCACTTCCCGGGGAAACGAGTCGTCTCTTACCTCTCGATTACGAAAGGAAGCAGCCGAGAAACATTGAAGGAGGAAAACAAGCTGGTGAAGGCCGATCGAAAGTTGGAGGCAATCGCTTATCGTTCTGCGCACGAGGCAGCGGGAAGGTCAAAGGGGTGACGGATATAAAGGGAGATGGTTGAAGCGCACACACGTTATTATTAGCGCGCCTCTCACGGACACAGAAAGTAACTCATCAGTGCCCCCTGGTAAGACTTTTTTTCCCTATAGTAGTATAACTATACGGGCTTTATAGGTTAACACCATCAGAAGCTTCTTCGTGCCCAACGCGCTCCGCAGCTCGTTTGGGACGCATATTATAAATTTCTCGAAAGTAAAAACGATGACCGGCAAAAAAAGAGTAATTAATCGTGGATTGTATTGCATTGCACTCCACTGAGAATACGTGGCCAAAGGGGCGTCCATACCGCCCTTCTCAGTACCTAAATTCATTAAAAAAAAAAACAAATGTTGGTACTGCGCGTATCTAACAGTGCAGTTTGTATGAAGATGGTTCCTAAAACTGTACTAAGCATCTTTTCTTTTTTTCTTTTTATCTCCTTCTGTTCGCTCCAACTGCAACAATGTCTAGTGACAAATAGTAGAATGTGCTTCACTCTGAGCGTTTTGTTGCAGAGGATATCATCATGGTGTCTGCGACAAGCGTACTGGGTGCCGTTTTCTGCGTGACCTTAAGAATAAATACCGCGGTCTCAAGCCACGGTGAGCTTCTCTGACGTGTTTTTTTATTGTTTTCCGAAGAATTCCAAGATCGATTTTACATCCACTCTTCTTCCGCTAGCCGTACGCTTCATACTATGCGTTATACTTCTATTGTCTTCGCATACAGTCACCCTAAAGGGACGGACACGTATATATATATATATATATATAAACTACCGCAATAAATAAAAGTTTTCAGAGCAATATTCACGCCAGTAGATGCAATTTAGGTGGAGAACATGGAGGTCGCAGCCCGCTCAGCCCCGCACAGTGCTTACAAGGTGCTTAGATTTCTCTTTGGCTGGAGAGATGATTGACGTGTGAAAGGTTGGTTGTAAATTTGTATCTCCGCACCGTAATAATATCTCGATCGAGTTCAATTATGTTTGAGAAACAGTTTCAAACGATAACAAACATGGCTGTCGGCGTCCGCGGAGTGCTTAATGGGCGTAGCTCGTTGAGCTCGTCAATTTTTATGAGTACCGGGTCGTTTTGAGTTTACAGAGGAATTCAGAGGAAGACCTCCTCAACCGACTTTGTTTGCAGCAAACAGCTTTCGTAAGTACGCGTCGTCGGAAGCGCTGGATGCTTGTTTTCGTAGCGGGGCTGGCCTATAAGCCTAGCGTCCCACATCCACTATTTTGATCGATCTGGTTTGAAATTAATAACAATTTTTCGTCGCGGTTTCTTGCAACGCGAAGGAGTTCTCTCTTTTTTTTCTTTGACGTCATGTCACAATTTGCTCTGGTACCCCAGACCGTCAACACATTGTGTAAAAAAAAAATTAAAAACAAAACGCGTTCTCGGCGTCATTCGTGATAACCAGGCGAAATACAGAATTGAGAGGCATCGACAAAGACGCAGTTTCGTAATGGCAACATATCGGCTTTGTAGACTTGTTTCTGGGGTCGCTGAAACAATTAAAAAAATTATTCGCCACGTTCATGGTTCCGAATCGCCTCTTTGCAGAAAACTGCGGAAGCTGGATGTTTCCGGCGCTGAGGAAGATGTTCACCGACCTGCCAGAGCCGCAAGTCATCTCGAACAACCGTTCCATCGAGCTGATTCCGGGTGAATTTTATCTGAACAACATCAAGCTAGCGGGCCTCAAGTACTTACAATCGGGCTTGTATGACTGTAAGGGCAGTGACGCCCTCTTCGAACTGAAGAATCCGATGCCCCTGAGACTGTCTGCCAAGTGGAGATCAAGTTCAGGAACGAGCGGAGACCTATCCACGAGTCTGAACGATGTCCTAGTCAGGGGAGTTTTAGAAACAAACTCGACGGGAGACGAAGGGAACAAGTTTCGCCACTTGTCGAGCTCATTCCGATCGCTGGGGAGAGTCAGCGTCGAGCTGGAAGGACTGGGAGGTGCGATGGACGCCTTTTTCTCCGTTTTGGGATCGGACCTCGAAGCACCCGCCAAGACCTTCTGGGCGGTTCTGCTTAAAGCGCAGATAAAACGTATCTTGGGAGGTGTCCCCCCTGTACCGGAGTGATGTTAGTGATACAGTGAAATTGTGTTTGACAAAGTGTTTTACAAAGTTTTGCAACGACCCGATTGAGTTGAACAAGTACCGTGGTCACACTGGTAATACAGCGTGCAAAAAACAGCCTGGCTTGAGAGACCCTTCGCGTCTACTTCCCCGGAATACAGATGGGAGTGTCAATAACTACAACCTACGGAGGGAAGTCCACGAATGACGAGGCACAAAATATCTTCAAACCTAAAAAAAAAAAAAAAAAAAAAAAAAAAAAAAACGCCCGCGCTGCGAAGTTAAGCGTGATGAAACCACGTGAAACATTATGCTGAGTGTCACAGCGCACACGTTTTTCTTTTTTTCTTCTGTTATGTCTAAACATGCTTTTAACCTTGATTTTTGCCAACCTCCCCATTCATAGATTGCAGCGATTGGATCTCATGAAGGGTTCTAAAACAAATTAAGCACTTAAACTTTCTTAGAGTGCTTAGTGATGTATAGTGACGCAGTCAACTTGTTTGTGCAAAATGTCCTGGAGAGTTTTACGAAGAGGCACTGGATTATAAGTTATAACCGAGAACAGCGCCGCACATTGTCTACTAATACGGGGCTTATATCTATTGGTTCCATTTCCTTCCAATTGGCGCCTTTTTAGGCCATCGACATCAATTCAGCAAGAGAAGCGATCGTTACCGTCCGCTTCACAAGCACAGGGCGTGGTTCGTTCACATTCCCTGCTTTTAAGGGTACGCTCCGTGCAGAACAAGGACAAGATGGCTGCCACTGGGCACGCCCCGCGTTTCGCTATCAATGACTATAGGTGCTGTACTTCGTTTTACCTTAGGTCCTAGCGCAGCCGACTTCAAGATCCGATGGGCCAACGAAGTCCCTTCAAAAACCGCAGCGTCCTGTCATTCGTCGTTTTTGTGTGCCCGGTTGACCACCAGCTCACCCAATAAACCGTAGAAATTGCGCCGTGAGTTTGGGCTTTAGTCCGTGTCTGTGCGTTTGTACGTCCTCTTGGCTTTTACAGCGTCCGGACTAAAGATTAACCAAAATATAGTGGTATACATTAAAATGTGTGCATAACATAAGCCGCACACCGAATAAACCTCTTGGCAAAGCAGCCAGAAACACATTGTCTTTTGTTTTGTTTGTCCGCGTTAACTTGCATTTCCGCGGCTGACTTAAGCGTGTGAACATTTTCAGAGGCGTGAAAATGTGCAGTATTGTGAAAGTGGCTTTCTGACTAGAAGTAAGACGCCAGCAATGTGTCTGTGTGTGCTCTGGGCCATGCGCTACCACGGAGAGTACGAGTTGAAACAGCCCCCACGCTTCTTCTACTTTCCCGCAAGTTTTCAAAGAAGCCTAGGTTCAAACTCAGCTCTGAATCTTTGAAATCTTCTACATTTTGAGAGATAATAAAGTTTCTGGGGACGGTAAGCGCAGCAAACGTCTAGATCAGATGTTTGAGTTCGCATTTCTCTCCTCTGTCTCCCACCATCATATATCGATAGGGGGAAAAATAACGTACAATTTTTGTCCTAGTCTCTACGACTAATGCCTCGGAGTGTCGCTGAAATGTACAACAAATACGTCATAGCAGCTTCCGGGTAGAGCTACGCGTCGCCATTATCTTGTCGGCAAGCCGTAAACATAGAGAAGAACAAGGGGAGCAGACATAGCCGTTGCCGTCCCCACCGAATTTCAGCCAATTTCACCTAGAAGACATAAGGCCCGGCGCATGACGTCATCGTTAGAGGCCCCCCGACCGTTCCCACAAGCGGCAAACACGCCGGAGCTTGACGAGAGGCGCCGCAAGGCGGCAGACGCGTCGGTCTTGGCGTCGCGACGTTCGAGCGTCGCGCTCCTTCTGCGACGCGCTGGTGGCGACGCTGAGGCAAAGCTAGGCGACACTGCGTGGATCCACTAGCGATGACGTGTTGGGGGGAAAGGCGCAGGACTTGTCTTCTAGATGGCACTGTTTCAGCCGGAAACGTTGAAGTTTTCGCACACTGGTCGGCTACCGAAAGCCGCGGTCACGCTGCTAAAGACAGGGGGTCACACACTCTAAGAAAAAATGGAGGAAAAAAGTAGCAACGGCGCGCCTTCCTCCCTTCTACCGACGCGCCCCCAAGCGGACACGAGAAAAGGGGAGGAACGAAACTTTTTTCTCCTTCTCCAGGCAGACGGGTGAAAGCTTTCGCCCTCCCGACTCATCGTCTTTCGGTTTCGTTTTTCGAGCAGGTCGCGCACGTTGTTTAATAAATAGCTGTTGAGTTGATTGAGCTTCAGCAGCAGCGAAGGCCGCCTGTAATTCCGTCTTCTAGTCTAAACGTGCAGAACATTTCGGTTGCATTGACGTTTTTATCACTAATTTTATCAAACGAGCAAACGAAGCCGCTAGAAACAGCGAAGTTCCGGAACAGTGCCAGCAGTGCCACGTACACTGGGGGATGGCCGTCTCCGGATTGTTTGACTCGCGCGGCACGGAACTACAGCCGCTACAGCCACTGCAGCACTACAGACTACAGTAGCGAAAGCACGCGGAACTGTGTCGACGTTTTCGACGTCATGGAAACCGCAGGAACTGTGTCCGCTGTGTCCAAGAAAGGCAGGTTTTGCTGCCGGCTGCCTGGGTGCCTTCCCCCCTGAGTTCGGTTCTGTTTTCCGATGCCGAGTGCAACCGGCGTTCAACGTGGTTCTGTGTTTGTGCGTGTCAGCAACATAGCTGCAACATCGTGATGGCAGTGTTGTGGGTTGTGAACGGAAGACTGGAATTATCGCCGATGTGACCGTGAGTTCGCGTATCAGTGGTGTAACAACAAGAGGAGATCGTAAACGGTCGGGCATTGATGCCGCTGGTCGGGCCGTGATCGGAGGGGGCGGGTTGTCGCAGTTTGACATTCTGCTTTACATTAAAAAGTTTAATACCGCTTGAGGGATTACGTGCAATCGATCAACGTGCGGATAGTCATGTTGGAACGCTGGTCTGTGCAGTATAAGCTCCTATCGTACAGTGGCCAATGTGACTGTTGGTTGTATTGTCCCCGAGAGCGATTGCGCTCTGGGGCAAGGACAACAGTACGAAATTGTGACGGAAAGTACGTATATTTACAGTGTGGAATTTTAGCATTAAAAAACAATAGTAGGTAAAATCGAAAAAAAAAAGCAACCATTTATTTTGCTGTTTAAATATATACTACGGTTCCTGGAGAAACTGCCCTCCAAGTGGCACGCTAGGATGAGCGCTAGAAGTTTTCGGGCTCTCCACGGCGTAGCTCCGTACACTTAACACCTGCCACAAGTCGCGGCTTTGACTGCATTCAAGTTGATCGAAAAGCGATTTCTCAGCCCGTGAAGCATCACTTCCAGCTGAGTGAATATCCGCTCTACAGAGATTAATTCAAGACGGTAATTGCAGCTTTGCGCGAACAGCAGAAATAGAAAAACAAACACTACAATAGAAAAACAGGCTACGACGCGCCGTGCGGGGAAACAAACTCATGGCTTCGAACCGCATTGGAGCGGTTTGATTTATTGCTTTCAAATAATTACGGCGTGATCGAGCGTTTACTTTTTAATAAGAGATTCATCCCCTGAGCCATTCAAAATACTCTCAGAGGTATGACATTGCTGGGAAAAAATCAACATGCTGGGAATGTTTTTTATTGCTTAGGGAGTCACCGAAAAGTTCCGCACGTTCAAAACTACCAGTATAAAAGACGGAAACGTAGAACACGGGTGTAGTGTTCGGGTTAGTGTGGTGTTCTGTTTTATTGATATTTGTGTGTGCAGTGCATGTGCTTAATGTATGTTCACCTGATGCTTGTAATAAGTGTAATGGGTGTCATGTGTCTATAGCAGAGGATCCTCAAGCGCAGTAGTGGCCTGAGAGAAGCAAATTATTTTTTGTAGAACATGAATTGGGCGGTATCTAGCGCCACCTGGCCTAGCTACTTGCAATTACTCTGCTTGACCCCGCCATCTGGTGGCTAGCGATTTAACCTTCTTTCACGCTACGCGATAAACAGCGGCTTCGAGTTTGTTCTTTCGAGAACGGCTTTTGGTTTCGCGGAGTGAGTTTGCCCTTCTCCGTGATGTGCGGTTGACGAAGGAATTGTGACTCGAGGAACACCAAAGGTAAGACGCAAAGTGCACGAAGTAACTCGGTATCGGTTGTCTCCGTTTAACATCGCAGTGCTGTCGACGAGAAGACTGAGTAACTGCTTTCGAAACGCAGGTTTCTGTACCTGTGGGGGGAATCTGGCTTCGGAAATAAACACAGTTTTCGGAAAGATCGTGTTACGCTTTCATTTGCTGCTGCTCTCGTCCCGTACAAGAGACGTAGCGTCCTCGTTAAGCCTTATTGGGCTCGATTTGCTCGATTTGGGGCCGCCATATTGAGATGCAAGCGACGGAGGAACTTTGCTCACCTGCTTCAGGGACGAAGGTTTCTCCCTTTCTAAAGGAACATAGGTTACAAGACCGTTCCTCCCGTAAGGGAGGACTATCCGTACCCTTTTTTCTAAGAGTGCACTTCGAATGTATCAAAGGCACAAAAGACAATCTACGTACAGATACAGGAACGCGAGTCACCGCGAGATCCGAGCTTCGAATGCCGCGTGGTAATGAGTTCAGGAAGGATACTTAGCGCGCGTCATTCGTACCACGGATATTGCATTGACTCGCGTTTGCAGGCCGTCTTTTGTGCAATGCACGAGCAGGGTGCCCCCGGTTTAACACATCATACCAAAGACAGTCTGAAGACAATGTCTGAGACGCGTTTCTTCCTTTTTACGACAGTCCTGCCAAATTGGTCATGCAAGAAACTCTCTGCAGACGTGTTCGAAGCGCATAAATGTGTCAAGCAAAGATGCTTCCATCATGCTTGACGCTTGTCCGCAGGTAATTCTATCATAACGGAGAGTTTTAGGGAACCGTTTTTGCACATCCGATACAGTACGATGAGCCCTCCGGTACGAACTGCGCATGCGTTGCCGCAGATGTACAGTTCGTACCGCGGATGTGCAACAAGGGTTCCCTAAAACTCTCTATTGTCTGCAACAAAAACCGCGTTTGTTTTCTGTGTCTTTTTCTTTGTATACATGATGTATGCGCGTGTGACTAAGGCTTATGAAGTTAT